TTGTTCAACCTAGACTATGTCATTTATTTATTCATGATAATTTAAATTTTAACAATCTGTTGTGCAGTGTCCCTCTATAAAACCATATTGTTCCTTCGGCAGAAAGCCATGATAATTCAAATAAAATGTAAGTCTTTTTAAAATCATTTTTTTAAATAACTTTACAAGCTATGCAGGTCAAAGCAGTTGATCTGAAGCTCTCCAGAAATATAGCCTCTTTGCTGGGATTTCTTATAGGGACAACAAATGCTCTTCTCCAATCACACAGAAGCTCCTCCAATTTCCAGGAAGCATTTATAATACTGTTACAAATTTTACACATAGATAGATGATTTTAGTGCAATTATATGATATGGTACAGGTTTGTAATTGATTGAATGCACACAACAATATCAGGAATCCTTGTCTCCGACTCAATCTTAAATAATTTGCCCATGTACACCATCAGGCACAGAAGATTTATTTAGATTTGAGTCTGTAGTCGCAGCTTCAAGCTCATGGCTATTGGAATCCTTGTTAAATATAGGTATTATATCTTGTGAGCTGCTACGGCAATCACGCATGATACTACTGGCCTTGGTCCTAATGTGTCTGTCTCTCTAATTTTATCAAATTTAGTCTACTAATATTCTGATTATGCATACCTAAAATGTTAGCAGCTTGTTCATCATCCTGGACCAAATCTCTGTCTTTGCTCTGAATTGTGTTACAATTTTCCACTCAAGGCTTTCTTCATATTTCTCACCAATTTCCACCAAATTGCTATTAGAAGATCTTCAATCAAAAGTTCATTTCATTTATCTCTCTTAATTTGTGCATAAATCCTTTTTAATTCTGCATTAACTTCATTTAATTAATTCCAACGATATTGCTGTTGTCAGAGTTCATACTGTCGATAATAAAAATATATACAGCCTTAAATAAAACAGAATACAAATTTTAGAAGTTAAGACATAAATGACTATTCATAACTAGAGTTAGTATCTCAATGTAAAAATAAAATGTTATGTCACAGAATAAAAAAAAATAAACTCCCAACTCAAGAGAGAATTAGTATAACAACATTAACAATCCAATATGAGAAAACACCTAACAAAGGATATGGGCAAATTAACTGAAAAATAATAACCTAAACTGACTAAGAATAAATTAAAAGAAGAAATGCAGATTCGTGTAATGTAAAATTAACAATCTGATTTTAAGACTTTTGTCAAAACTAATACATGTAATAAAATGACCGGAAATTGAATTATAGTCCATAACTCATGGAACCTATGTACCCTGAACTTGTGATGACATCAGAAGTTATGTAAACAACATACTTATAATGTCACAAACACATAATATCTAATTTCATGTGCTTCTCTTCAATTCTTTTTGTGTTACTTTAGTTAAAAAATATCTGGCCAAACTGATCAGGAATGTCCTTTTCTTCACACTGGCATTCATGAAAGAATCTCCCTGAATCACATCAGGTTGATCATGAAGGCTCTGTGATATATCAGAAATTCTGTCAGCAATGGGATGTTGCTATAAATATCCATTATGACTTTTAGACTGATCTGAAAAAATGCATCTGCCCTTAGTTGCAGATGACCACTGCCCCTGCCATGCATTCATGAGGTACACTTTTGTAATGTGCTTGAAATAAAACAGTGGAAAGAGAGTTGGTAGCAAAAAGCATTTAAAAGGAGAACATCTGAATTTCGTAACTATAAAAAATCTAAATATTAATTTTCAGTTCTAAAACAAAAACCGATGATCTAATATATTTATGTTTTTAAATATTCTTTTAAGGACACTTTTCACACAGCTATAAAATAAAATTACCTGAAAAACTGGCAATAGATTTTGCAAACAATATATAAATTATCTTTAAGGAATTATTTATTAAACACTTTCAGAATTAGATAAAGAAAGAAGTAAGAATGAAGAAGATTTCTGTTTTAAGAACTTAAACACTTTCAGTATTTCAGATTTAAAATCTTTAATGAAGTACTCAAATTATTATACAGTAATTTAAACAGTAAAAAAGTTACTAATACACTATGAATAGTTATCAATAATTTACCTACTGTGCAATAATTTACCTACTACAAATGCAATATTCAAATGATTTGTATCAGCAGAAATTGAAATGGTATTTACTTTATATTCTGTTGTTTAATTTTAGAACAGAGCTATAAAATTTGTTATGCAATTTACAGAAAATCAATATTTCTGTACCATCATTCATTTTTAATCAAACTGGGTCCAAAAACATTTGCATCCTCAATATGTGATTTTACAGCAACTTTTTTTTTTATTCAATAGTAAGTATTTTCAACATAGTCTCTTATCCCTAGAAGCATTTGATCTAAGACTACATTCTGAAATATAAATCACGGAATTCTATTTCTGTTTATGAAGGATTTTCTGAATCCCTTTATTACTGTCTGTGGAAACACATAATACATACTGAAAACAATAAACTCATATGTTGTGATTCCTTCTTATAGTCTGATTAAACAGACATATTTTAACTACATACCTAACATGACTGCAAATAATTAAAAAAAAAAAAAATCTGGAAAAATTACACAAATGTTACCTTTCAAAACATAAAATAATAGATTATTTTTCAAAGGTTAAGTATGTGATGGAAAATTTGAATTTGGATACACATCCTTCAGTTTCATCAGGTAAGGAGAAAAAATACACAAATACCACATACTGTGACCATTTAGATTTCATACTGACAAATACGGAAATTACATGATAACTGAACATGATGCATTTCTGAGTAGGTGAATTTAACTACTCACAAAAGAGTTCAGAAAAATGACTCTGCTTATTTTTTGATTAGATAAAGTCAATTATGGCTCAAAAGAGGTAATTAGATGACTTTCAAAATAGGTATATATGTCATTCAGCTTGATGCAGGACATTCTATTAAAGAGGTCGTTGATTTCTCTCATATTGATTGATCACTTCTCAATTTCTAATCTTTGGAAATAATTTCACATCAGAAGATTTATTGTCTAGAGACCTAATCTTAGTTATCTAAGGGCTACTGCATCCTCCAATCATAAATACATGGTTTTTATAGGCAAAGCACAACGATGAGCAATTTCTTTAATTCTCAGAGCAATGGCTACCATAATAAGTGGAAGGCAATACCAGCAAGTACTACTACTTCGTGAAGACTCGACATGAAAGAACTGCATGCTTAGTAACTGGTTACAGACGAAATATTGGGGAGAAAACAACGAATATAATACATAGTAGGAGAGAAGAAAGGAAGGAAAAAACATCGCAGTTCTTAATCATTATGGTATAAAATATCGTCATTGAAAATAAAGAAATATTGTGGTAAAAAAAAAAAAATAAAGCACCTACAAATCATTGCATAACAATTAAGATATGTATTTCAGGCTTTAAAAGTTGTAAATGCATATTTGCATAATGTTAAGTGCAAGTATGGACGAAGAATATTTTTACCTCTGTATTTCATATTTTTGGATTAACTAATAATTTTTTTCCTAAAACATTTAGCATTCACAGACTGAAAATGAGTATGCTATCTACGAGTATGTAATTAATGCTACATAGTTAATAGAATTTTTAATTTACATACTTAATTATTAAAAGTCTAATAGAATTTTCAATTTATGTACTTAATTATTAAAAGTCACTATTTAATTAATCTCTTTTATAAAGCTATATTGGCAGTTTTTCATGAAAAATATAATCTTAAAAAAATTAGAAAAGGGGAAATGAATAGTTGCATGAGATTACCCATATTAAAATTGTTTAAGTAATTATCAAACTGTAATATTATTTTTTTTTTTTTACCTTCGTTAACGTAATATTCTTTTAGTAAAAATTAAGCCTTGTTTTGTTTCAGTACATTCGTCTTCTTAAAAACATCATTAATATTTTTATGTACAACCTCATCTGGATGTTGATTAATTAGTTATGATGAAATGTGTCAGGAGGAAGTAATTTTCTACTCAATTTCAGCTTTTGAATGCTAAGGTTTCCTTCTTGCTTCTTTAACCCAAACACAAAATTATGAATTAATCCAAAAATATGAAATATAGAGGCAAAAATATCTCTTATCCTTACTTGCATTTACAAATCATTATGTAAATACGCATCTGAAACTTTTAAAGCCTGAAAAATACATGTCTGCGATGTTATTGTCATGTCAAAACTACTTACGTTGCCCTTAGATATGCCTCTATACCTGTGAATCCATCCCACTACTTTCAAAACTGGAAACTGTCGCATTAGATATATAGCAAGTATTTTTCTCTGGTAAGCTATACCATTTAACTAAAAATACCACTGCTGCAGAGCTTGCAGAAGGCCAAAGTGAACCCATACCTTACTAGTAAAGTTTCATTTGTTCATTTAGCTTAAAATTTTTTATTAGATGTATAAAATGTGATATATGTATATTAATTAGAAATATACATACAGGTACTAATGTTTACTGTAATTTTCTGTGTTAAATACATAAACAAATGGCCAATCTTTATACGAAATTTTGAGTTCATCAAAACATAACTTTTCCATTTATGCCAAATTTACTGCTATTTATTTTGGGAAAGAAGTATAATGCACAGACAGGAGGTTGTAAATCAGTGGGACAATTCACTCATCTGAAAAGTTTAAAAGACTTTTAATTAAATCATTCAACAAGAATTTACCTCTTCCCAGATGCCAGATTTTTTATTAGATGTATAAAATGTGATATATGTATATTAATTAGAAATATACATACAGGTACTAATGTTTACTGTAATTTTCTGTGTTAAATACATAAACAAATGGCCAATCTTTATACAAAATTTTGAGTTCATCAAAACATAACTTTTCCATTTATGCCAAATTTACTGCTATTTATTTTGGGAAAGAAGTATAATGCACAGACAGGAGGTTGTAAATCAGTGGGACAATTCACTCATCTGAAAAGTTTAAAAGACTTTTAATTAAATCATTCAACAAGAATTTACCTCTGCCCAGATTCTCGCAGCAATAAACAATGTCTTTATTCTATGGTCAAAGGCACATAATGATTTCAATAAGCTTGCAATTTTATGAGCATTCTCTTCACTTCTTCCTAAGTACATCAGCTCACATACCATACCAGTGTAAGGTTCTATGACACAGATCTTTGATTTTTTTACAAATGCTGCTTCGTCAAAAGGCAAAACATCATATTTTTCTAGTTCTGTTTAAACATGATAAAAGAACAAAAATTAAAGAATCAAAACAGATTGAAAAACATCAAATATGAAAAAAAATCTTTTCATAACAGCATATTACATAACATATCTGGTTGTAATGAAAATTTTCTGCCAAAAAAGGTTCTTAATAAAGTTAGGGTGGAAAAAAACATGAAAGCATTACTTTTAGTGTGGGTAGTAATCACAACCCAAATCTATGATTTTTCTGCCAATTGTTTGGTAGTTTTTTATTGCCTCAGCCCAGAAACTTGATGGTCACAAGTCCCAAAACAGATCAACCTCATTTCGTACGTCCTGTGCCGAATGGACGATAGCACAGCAGGATGTAGCTGCAGGTATGAAAAAGGGTAGAAGTCTAAAGAAGCGATGTCAGGGCTATATGATATGTGCGGTACTAAATCCCATTTGAGTCAGTACAGAGTCCAGACGGTGAATGCCAACACATGTGGACTTGCATTATCTTGATGGAACATTACCTTTTTGCATCAGAATTCAGTTTAGCATTTTTCCTTGACAGCAGCATCAACATGGACTAGCATCTTATTGTACACCTTAGTATTGGAGGTTTTACCTTTTTTCTAGACACTCTTAGTGGATAATACTATGGCAATCACACCAGATACAAAGCCTGATCTTTTTGTTAGTCAAAATGTGCTGTGTGAAAAGCCGAAAGGCTCACCGGGCACGGACCAATCCCCTTTTTGGCCTGTGTTACTGAAGTAAATCCACTTTTCATCACAAGTGATGATCCAGTTTAGAATTTTGTTCTTGTGTTGGTATTTGAGCAGATTAGTGTAAACCCAAACACGTCTGTCCTTATCTGCTTGAGTCAGCTCATGCAGCACCCAGGGATTCAACTTGTATGTCAAGTTTATGAGATGCATATCATGACTAATGGACATGGCATTAATGCCTAACTCCTTAGCAAGGTCTCGAGTGGTTACATACTGATCTTCTTCCATAAATTCTTACATGTGGTCCTCATCAACATCAGTAGGCTGGCCAAAGTGCGGTGCTTCTTGAATGTTACAGTCCTTGTTTTAAAACTTTTAGTACCACACCTTCACAGTGTAATATGATACAAAATTAATTCCTAAAGCTGTACACATTATTTGGTGACATTCTGTAGCTGACTTTTTGCAACAGAAATGGAAGTAAATGATAGATCTAATTTGATAGTACAATAGTTCCATTTCAAACACCTTGTACTTAATGATATTTGTTTACAAATTTCACAACACTGTGTTCTAAGTCTCTTTCTTTCAAATTCCAAAAATCGCTTGACAAAATAGGTTTAAACATGCCAAGGTGAACTGTTTGCATAGACAATATTTGTAGTGGCAGGAAACTTTCTTTACAACTGATAACTAAAAGTATATATACAGCAAGTCTACTCTAAGACAATCATCCACAGATACAGATGACTTGGGTTTCCCATAAAAGTGGTCACCCTAGAAGTGTGATACTTAATACTCACATTTGTTTGCGTTTTTAAATATGCTAGTCATTTTCAGAGATGGTATCAAATGTATATACATCATTTAATTTTGTCAATATTCAAAACATACAGTTAAATACAATTAATTCAGAGGCTTTACAGACTTTCCCCCTACAGAAATCTTAAAAATGAGCTTCTAAACATGTAATCTTTGTTGCAGAATGATATGTTGATATTATATTGAAAAACCTCGACTCATTCGGGCATGAATACAGGATTTTCTTATTCTCACAACCTATGAAACAAGAAGATGGCAATTAGCTCAGCCTTTTTTTATGTAATATCACTCATAACTATAGTTCTGGAGGTGTGACTGGCTGATGTAAACAAAAGAAGAATATCAAAGCTAAACTAAGCAATATAATTTGTTGCAAGTTACTGGCAAAAGTGCAAAGGCATTTACAGTTCTTTTCCTTGATAAGAGTTTAAGAACATACTCATAGAAACGTCAAGAAAGTACTTCAGAATTGAAAAGAATAATGAAGCATTTGAAAGCACAGCTAATGTGAAATGGCATAACGACAAAATATTAGGAAGCATCTATTGAAATATTAATTAGAAGTGTCAATTGAAAGAGATATGACAATATATTTTGGGAAAAAATTCTCAGTAAATAACAATATTTGCTTACTTTTTTTACAGTCATTTTCTTTAATAAATAATTTTTAGTTTTGAAAACTAGCAAACTGAGATCTTGTATTTTTCTAAATTTTAAGGTCAAAGTAGTTGAGAGAGCTGCTAAATACAGCAAAGACACAACGATGGTTCAAAACATTTGATTAAATTAAAATTGACTAAACATTCCATTAAATTCATTGCTTTGCTTACTTTAAAATTGCTTTTGGATCAAATATTTCAATAAAAATTTAATTTATATATCTTACTACAAGCAATGGTTATGTGACAATTAAATAAAAAATGTTATTGCAAAAACAACAAATAAAAAAATGATTATCAATCAAAAATATTTTTCTTAAATGCCTCTCTCTACTTCCTAAGAATCAAAATGTTATTTTTTTTATTTACAAATAAATAAAATTAAATGCAAAAAATAAAATTTTATTAGATATCAAACTCTGCATGTAAAACATCGATTTTATATTTACTATTTAATGTGTTTTTTACTTAAAAAGTTGAAAAATTCTCAAACTAATAACTACTTTTAAATAAAACTGAACAATAATTTTCACATTTGAACATTCAAATTCAAATATTATTAACTTCACTGCATGAAAAACTCAGTACTTTTTTATTATCCACACCCCCATTCAAAAAGATGGTACTGATGAGGCAATAAAGGTATTGATAAAAAGGCAATGATGTGGTAAAAAGGTATTGATGTACTATGTCCCCAAAAAAGCAAACCATGATTTATGTGGCAAACCATGATGTCATCAAAAAATATTATGTAGCAACCTATGCAAACACATATGTGTTTGAGTACACATAAATAATTTGCACTTTTGAAATTCAATGGTCAGTTTCTTGATTTTAGTATTTCTTTTTTAATTTCATTTGCTTTTGTCATAATGAACCATAATATAACTGTCAAGCCTGCCCTAATTTATTTTCATAATTTGGCAGTATTTCAGTGGAGTCCATACTGAAGTTTCAATTGTTTTTTGAGTACTCATGAGTGCAGCTAGCATGCAATGCCAAGTTGTACAATTCAGATGCCAATTTTGTACAATTCTCTGATTTCTTTTCAGCTAAAAAAAAATGCTGTACACATGGAGAGAACAATGGCAGGGGGGAGAGATGAATTATGTGTGTTTTCTATAGAAAATGAAGAATGTAAAAAATAGGTAGCAACCAGATATATCACTGCAATAAACAAAAAGATGCCTAATAAATGTTACTCTCCAAAGTCAGCAATGAATTTTTGAAGCTCTTTAAAGCTGTCAAAAAATTTACAACTTTTTTAGAAGATGCGAATAATCGGAAAGTGCCAAAAACTCTGCTAAAATAAAAATATTACCTTCAAAATTTTGAAAGATTAACATTGAAAATATGCCTACTAAGCTGCACTTTTACAGATGTAACTGCATTAATGCCACAATTAAAATCAACTACACCAAAGAATTTGTACTGAAGAGCATTTAGTTAAATAAAATATTTTTCATCTTAATAAGCAACAAATTTAAGAAAGAAGATTATTAAATAATATGATGCTGTTTATCGATAATTTATGTATCACAAGTGATACATAAACAGCCTCATATTACAGTCTCATTTTATTTTATCTCAAATGTGTGGATATTAATAATGACATACAGAAGCTCCAAATAAGATATCAGTTACAATTCCTATTCATAAAGGATAACTGAGATGGTAAATATTATTAAATGGAATCTGAAATAAAATTACATATTCATCATTTATAATATTCTCATCTTGTACAAAATGAATCTTTTCTCTAACTTAATTTTCATCTACAAACATGATAACACTTTCACAAAAGATATTGTTATGTGTAATGCTTTTCATTCTAGAGATTTCTAAATCTTTCTCTAACAACTTCTATACATTTCTAAATACCTTGCCAGAAAGTACTGTTATGAAATGCTTTTAGAACTGTTACTGTATACATCAAATACAAAATATGTAATAATTATTAAACTCAAAACTTTTTATCATAATGTTTATATACCATTCCCACAGAGGTTCCTGTGCAGCTGATCATTATTTTTGTAATTGCTAGTCATAGATATACATTTCAAATTATAAAATACCTTAAATAACATAAATATTCATGTTTTAGCATTTTAAAAGTTAAAAGAAATTAATTTTTTAAAAATTTTGGTCACTTAAGAAAATTTTATGATAATTATTATCCAACACAAAAGTTTGACTCTTCCATGTAAAAATTGACCGAGATACTTAATTTCAAAATTTGGAATTTTTTATGCCATTTTGATGTTTTCCCTTTAAATGATATTCAATAAAATTTTTTGGGATTTATTAGAGTGTAACATTCTTTATAAATTTGTTACAACTGATACATCAAATGAATTTTTACACAAGTAATTCATAAGTTTTCAAATACCAGAAATATGTTATTAATATTGTCATAAAGTTTTACAATTTTATAATTATAATCTAATACTCATACAAAAAATTCCTTAAACAAGAAATATTTTTTATCTTCAGTTTTTGCAAATAATGTTGAGAGTTGGCTATATGCCAATACTGAAGGCTACCAATCCTTTCTTTCTTGACCATGAGTTTTATTAGATTCTACACAGAAGGTCTCTTTTTAGAAAAATTACACTGAATAACATTTTCCTGACAATCTGAATGGAAATGGTCATCATTTAATCTACTAACACCAGAAACCATTTTGTAAACTGATATTTTATATGAAGTTACAAATGCCAAAATGTTGCTCTTCAATTTGTGTATGGTCTCTGAATATGATTTTCAACTTTAAAATTAAATAATCAATTTTTTGTAGTAGACACATCACATTTTTTAAATTTTATTTTTTATAATGAATATACATTTTCCTAAATATAAGCATAGAAAGCATGGACAGCATATAAAAAAAATTCTTAATTTTTACAAAATGATTTTTTTTAAATTTAAAAATATCAAAATGTGAATCCGCATCATCTAAAACACTTCTCTTTTTTGTAATTGGAAGTATAATATCTATGACCAACAGTTGCAAAAATAAAAACTGCCTAATGGCTTTTGTGGACATAGTGCACAACAACTTCTTTTAAAATTCCATCAGAATTGTACTTAGATGTTAAATTGATTTCCAGATAACCTAATTATCGAATTAAATTTCTTATTTTTTCACATTCTTGGCAAGCTTATTTTAAGCATCCTAATACACTTACAGCAAACGGAAAGCAAACTTGTGCACTAACATTTGCAGCAAGATTTTATTTCCTTAGAAATAAATGTTATATTACATCTATATAGTTTCTATTTATATAATTTTGAATTAATTAAAAGAATAATAATGTCTTTACTAGCAGTAAGTTCAGAATAGTAATACACATAATCACTTTTAGGCATTAAAAAAGACTAAAGAAAGAACTTGAAACATAACAATAAGAAAAGATGAATTGCATTTAATATTGTTTTTACCTCTGGAAAGACACTTCTTTATTTCTAGTAATAACGAATTTTGAACTTTACACTTTGTTTGCAATGCAAAGTTTATATTAGATGTACTCACTGCAAGGTCACAAGAATAAGATCCATACAGACTAATGGTACTTCCTACAATGGGACAGCAAAAATAAATTAAATTTCGTAATAAATAAGAAAAATAATTAAAATTATAAGTACATCTATTATAATGATATTTTTTCTCTTCTTCCCTTATTTAGAGAAACAAACACAAATAGACATTAACATATTGTAGAGTCCCAATTTCAAACCCAAATGGACAGGGGTCTGGTCATATGATGTGGAAATTTAAAACTAACAAATACGACATTTAATATTAACAAAATACACCCATTATTTCAAAAATTACATACTAGTAATTTCAATAAGCTATAATTTTACACTGTATGTACCACAAAGAACAATGAAACCTGATGAAAAAAGTTGATAATTGGCTTTTGTTTGCCAGCTGTTTGACATTTTGTCTCAGTTAGATTTCAGTCTCTGCAGAAGTAAAACTTCCATTGAAGAAATTTCTTACAATTACTCAACGTATTTCAACACTATCTACGGGGCTTTGTGCCCTTTGATATGAAAAATTCTCTTCTCACTTTCTGCCATCACTACTTATCTTCATTACCTTATCTTTTTCATTCAGCACCATATTAGCAATATCTTAGTCTGTCACTTCACACTCCTCATTCTGAGAAAGCAATTCATTCATGTCCTGCACTGTTGCTTCATTACATCTGAGCACTTTTTTTTTAGCATAGACAACATGGCTTCTCAAGTTCAACACTTTCTGGAGTTTCTTCCTGATTTTGCAAGATTCTGTTTGTTGAGCTGACACTTACCCACAACTGAGCTATGTTATTGACAATACCCTTAAGTTGAAACTTAACAAACTCTTGATCATATCTTCTCCTTGATTAATAGAATAAATTAAAGTTGACAAAAATTATTGTGATAATTTTCTTTCCAAAGTCAACAGTCCTTAAGTCATGCTGGCAGACTGCCATGGAACCTGGAAGCAAAGTCATGGCTTTATTTCTCCACCTTAATTCTTCTTCATTTGGGTGAGAATGAGCATTATTCAAAGTGTTTTTCTCAGCAAATTATATTTTAAAATATGTCAGTCTAGGGCACAAAGTCATAAAACAATTATTCTTTAAAAATGTCTGAACTCATCCAAAAATTTTTCTGGTTAAAATATTTAACTGGAAAAGTATATTTGGAGACACATTCTTAAAAGCTCTTGGATTTTTTTATACTTTTTTTTTTAAGATTTGCCGCAGCATTATTATGGGCAAGGATTGTTACCCATTCTTTAATTCAACTACCCCAGTCAGATGCTGCAGCTTCAGATTTAGCTGCATGTATTTTTGTAGGTAGCATTTTGTAATTCATTCCATCTCACTGCAATTAAATATCTGGTCAGTAAGGTTTTCGCTTGCAACAACTTATGAAATTTATCTCTAAAATTCTCCATTAACTTATCAATTGCTGAAAGTTTTTCTCCACATACAGTTAGCTGTTGTACTACCACATTTTTCCTTCCTATATAGAGCCAATCAACACCAGCTTTAAAAGTTAGGGTCATCCTCATTAATTCTTTTTGGAATTTCAAGGGTTTTTTTCTGGAAGACTGGTCCAGATATCGGGACACTTTCATCTCCTCTTTAGTAAGTCTGCAGTGAACTATATTTTCATTAACCCTCTCAACGTTACGGATGGAAAATTCTGTCTTGAAGGCTGTCTTTCGAATACATTGCATGTGAAGATATCTGCCAGCATTTACTGTATCTGATTTCAGGTTGGTTGTATACTGGAAGGATAGGAATCAAGGTACAAAATGAAAGAGTCGTCGACACAAATACAAGATTTCAGAAATTAATTATAATCAAGAAATACAATTTATTTATGACATTTCACATATTCAACTTTGAAATTTGAAGTCTAAACCTGTAATGCTGAGAGGGTTAACTAGTTATTAATAATTTTAGCTTTAACTATAACTTCTCATTTCCCTTTTTTTCATTAGAATGATAATAAGTAGCCAGTATTTACGATGAAGTTTCCGGATTTTAAGTGTTTATGGCACTACAGTTGTTAGTTTTCTGCTAGCTCTGACAGTTGCTATTATTTGGCCTTGTGTTTTTTCACTGCCAACACTCAAATTCTGAAGCTTAAGGACAGTAGTGAATCCAAAACAGTAGCTTCTACATAGTAAAAGTGTTTTTAATTGTGTAGTCTTTGACTACTGTTCCACATTTAAGTTTAATTTGGACTGTTCTATTTTATTTTACCTCACCATAATTAGCGGAAATTGTAACAAAATAGAGCCTATGTGTTTTAAATTCTGATTAATAAACCTTTTCACAACTTTGGCATTGTTTCAGGACATAGCAATTATTCACTTCTCATCTGTAACAGTTATTGACTTAAATCCAACAACTGTTACAAATCACCAAATCAAGTGAAACCTTACAAAGCAAAGAAATAAAGTTTCACTAATGTTTTTGTAATCACAATTTTTTATTGTTTTATTAGCTGTTATTTGCTCAACACACCACTTTTGTTTCTCCTTTCAGTTCCTGTTTCAATCTCCTATGATTGCTTTTCCTGTATTATAATCCTGTGCCACTTTTAATAACATTTCATCTCTGTCCAATCACTTCAAAGTTTTCAGTTTTCTTCCATAGATTCAGACACTTTTTTTTTTCTCCCTGCTGAAGGAATTACAACGTATCACAGAACAGGATACACAAATACAAGGTAAATATACTCTTCTGTATACTGAACACAGTCAAAGAAACAAGGAACAAATTAAATGTCAACTCATTAGCAGGCACAACTAACTACTGAGGTCAATCAGCAAAGCAGGAGCAGACTGCTGATTGCCGTATAGTGGCTTGTGCTAACAAAATCTCTGTCAACGATAAAGTGTGAATGATGTCTACTCATATAAACTTTAGATAATATGTGATATTTTACCCCCTCCCCCTCCCGACCAGTCAGATTAGAAAAGGTTGGATAACCAAGAATCGACTGTAAAAATACATATAACTTACATAAAAATTGCTGAGAGATAATTCTTTTTCAATAATTATTTATACAAAATTAAGAGGCACTGGTTAAAATTTCCAATCGAAATAGCAACCAGAGATGCATTATTCTAGTACTCTCCTGTTATGTAAAGAAGCTTTTTATGTTCTATTTTCTGCTACGTTATTTAGTACAGAAATAAAATAGATGAAATATGCTTTCTATTTATGTAAAAAAAAAATTATTGCTCTAGCAAGTTTATGCTTAAGATGACTTAATTTACAGTTATTTGCAGAATTAATAAGAATGGAACTGTTCTAAAAGAAATAACGTGGCTGAAAGTAAAAATGAAATAAGTTTTATTGAAAAGTTAAAAGATGTCATTTCGTAGCAACTCTCTCTATGCATATTATCATCTTTATTGTTGGGAAGTTTAGTTTCTCTAGAATGGCAACAAGAATATAGAAATAAATACTTTTTGCTTTGATGTTTCTAATTTTAAATGTTTTCTTTATTATTATGAATTAAAATACACCTAATACGTTTTGGAATTATCATTTAATTTATTAAATTATTTCATGTATTAACTGTGAGTAGCGTCCACAACAATCTGGTGACCTGGATGAATAATTTCTTCTAACCATCAAAATCATGGACACTACCAGTTCTGTTCTGAACACAAATAGTGAATTAACAGCAAACAAGGTAAGAGTTAAAATTCCACCTTCTTTTGAGAATAAAAACCGCACATTTGTTTGTTCCAAATTGAAGCACAGTTCTCAATTGCTAAGATTACTCATGATAGGACTAAATTTAACTATCTTGTTGCACAACTGAACCAAAAGTAGCAGGAAATATTATATAGGATATAATTCAAGAAAATTAAGATAATAATAAATAAGAAAGAATTAAATAATAAGATATGAAATGAGAAAAATAAATAAGAAACATACCCAATTATTGTGCAAAATGAAATTACTTGCTGAAACAAATATAATGGATAAAGTTTTGTGAACCTTGTGAGTTGGCAAATTGCCAGAATTCATGAAAAGTATTTTGATTGTGAGTAATGAAAACTTGGATAATTTATCGATAATGGTGGATAAAATATTTGAAATTATCTCAAAAACAGAAAGTAATTCTAACTCAGAGAAAGAGATTTCAGAACTAGATATTTACAGTCTGGAAGTAAATATTGACACTCTGGCTGTAACTGAAGCAAGAACTGTAGTCATTCAAGGAAGAAATATAATCCCAATGGATTATACTGCTACTGTCACTATAAATTTGATGATAAATGTTTCTGCAATAAATGTAAAACCCCATGTAGCTGGAAGGCACTGGAAAACTTTAATCAGTACGTTCTGCTGTAGATGAATTAAAAGATTGCCAGAAATACTGATTATTCATTACCAATAAAACAATCAATTTATACTTTCTTGTGAACAATGGTATTGATTTATCCATCATTCTGGCAACATCAAACCATAAAATATGTAATTCTTTAAAACTGTGTACTGCAAGTGCAAAATTATACCCGCTTTAGGTTTGAAAATTTTAACTCTAAATTTAAGCCTGCATTGGTGATTCCAGTTTCCTTTTGTAATTAGTAAAGCAGGTCAAGGTATTTTAAACACAGGGTTCCCCCCCCCCAAATTTAAATTGCTTATTGATATGCATAGCAGAATGTTAATAGATAGCATCACAAATTTATCGATTCAAATTCAAGTTACATGCATAACATGTGCAGATAGCATAAGTACTACTGATAAAAATTGCAGATTTACAAATTTGTTATAACAGTATCAGAATTTAACAAAACCAAATATTTTACTCTGCAATTCACAATATAATGTAAAACACTATATAGCTACTAAAGGCCCATCTACTTTTTTAAAAGCTCGGCAATTAGATGTGTGGAAGTCTGGAACACAGGAAATGTTAAACACTGTTCTGTACGGAGTAGCAGCGAGAACAAACTGGCTGTAAAGTGTTGGAAATGTGGTACTGTAGGACACACACATTGCAGAACACACCAGGGCACGGAAAATAAAACAGACGATTCA